GAGGGTTACCATGATTATATAGAGGATGAAACATTGAAACGAGTTATAAGATTTTATCCTCCGTGAACAAGCATAGCAATGTCTAGCCAAAAACATTAAAGAAATGTGCTTATTGGAAGGCAACCCAATTCAATTTTTAGTTTATTTTTATTATTAGTTTCATTATATTTATCTTATGTTTTTCATATTTGGTGTGTTTAATTTTTATTTTTTGTTTCAATGGTCAGAAGACTTCCTCCCGACAGCTATGTTTTCAGAGTCAGACCGAACATCGACTCGGCTGAGCTCAGGGGTCAAAGGTCAATGGTAGTCAATGGGTTCAATCGGGGTCATTCGGAGGTCGAACCGGATGACGTCATAAATACATCACATATATATATATATATCTTTTTCCTGCAAATCAAATTTACAAAATATAACCAAAAACCAGTGATCCAAATCCATATCCAATTCACCAAATTGCACATGTTTAATTTGAACATCCTTAATTTGCTTCCAAAGATTGTTAAGCAATTTTGAGGAAGACTTTGTAGTACATACTAAGCTATACTTAGATTGATATGTATTCAGCTGTGATACATAAAGATAAGAGAAAGCAAACAAGTAAAAGTCAGTTTAACACATTCTCGCTACATTTACATAATTTGATGACATCTTCAGTTGCATGGTCAATCAATTGAGTCTTCTACATGGTTAATCAACCTTTGAACTGGCTTAGCAGTCTACTTCCGTCCTACCTCAGTTAAGGCAAAAGAGAAAAAGAAAAACAAGAATGCCAAAAAAAAAAAGAAAAGAAAAGAAAGTGATAAGTGAATGCTAAATATCAATCTAGAACACTGATTTCAACTTTCAAGCAACATAAGAGGTAGCTTTTAACTTCAACGTCTAAAATCTAATTAGTGTCTATTACTTGTGCCAAAAAAATTTTAAAAAAAAAGTAGTTATCTAGTTTCTGCAATTCCAACTAAAAGTATAGACTAAAAGTAGCCATCTTGATTTCTGCATATCTCAGGAAGCAACAATGGAGTTACCAAAAGAGATGCATCCCAAAATTTTCAGTAACTTTACATTTCCTCAAACACATAGAAAGCAACAAATGAAATCCATTAATTCAAATAAAAGAATTAAAGAAAAAGTCCCCAATAAAGCTCTTGCACATGTTTTGCCTGAAATTTAACAAATAGATCATATGAAATTAAATTAGTGAGTGCTTCCACATTACTGGTCATTTACACTTTTCCCTTTCTTCTTATACTTCAATGAATCTATACATCAAAATTAGATAGCATTTACCCCAATAATACAATTCTGACTTTTAAAGGATGCATTTTTGTAGCACAAGCAAATTTATCTTCAAAAAGTGAACATTTTAGTTTGCACCAAATTAGTCAGTTGCAGAACATTAACTTACTTGATTAAACAAATATCACTCCAACCCTTTTTTTCAACCAACCTTCCCAACCTCTGTAACTCTGCCGAGGATCGGATGGAGAACCGGAGAAGACAGCAGGAATTGATTCAGAATATATAGGGAGTTAGGTTTGGACTCTTTGGACAAAGCGTAGGAGAGGAGATTGGAAATTGCTGTATAGCGCTTGTACTCCCTAGTAGGAACTTACTTGGGAATTTTGGATGTGCCGTCGGCAATGGCGACAAAGATCGGCGGCGGCATGAAGATAGAAACAAAGCAGTAGAGATTTTAGAAATTTAGGGCTAGAGTGAAATGAAGACCGGGGTGTCAAATTAGGAATTTGGCTTGGGATAACTCGTGAAAGCCTGAAAAGTCAACAAAAGACAAATTTAAAAAAAAAAAAACCGATTCTTGCCAGTTTTAATGGTTCACGGTTCAACCCAATTTCTGACAGGGTTTGACCGAGTGTTAAATATTTCCTCCCCTTTCCTACCACCCCCAGCCCTTCCTCTACCCTCTCGATCTAATCTCGATTGTGGTTATGAGTGAGGGAAGGAGGGGTAGGAGGAAGAGAGAGGGGAGAAGGACCCTCGATCTAATCTTGATTGTGGTTATGGGTGAAGGAAGTAGGGAGGGGGGGAGGGTAGGCGGAAGGGCTAAAGGGAGAAGGACCAAGAGGGAGGGGGAGGAAAAAGGAGGAGAGAGGAGGTGGCAGCGATGGTGGGTGGGGGGGGGATGGGCAGGGGGTGGAGGTGGATGGTGTTGGTAATAGGTAGAAAATGTTATAAAATATAATTTTTAATTTTTTTATATATATTTGTGAGTTGTTTTGAATATATTTTATGGATGAGATTTTTTTTTTGAATTATTTATATTTATGTATTAGTATAACATTGCATTTGAAAATTTTACTTTTGAAAAATAGGTCGATCCAAACGGTTCTTTGACAGGTGTGTCTACACTCTACACAGAGTTTGGTTCATCCATACTACTCAAAAGAGAGCTACTTGAAGGTGCATGAACCAATTATAGGTCCAATGAGTGGGCCTAATGCTTGGGTCAAATTAAACAGAGAACCTATCCTGCCACCTAAGAAGTTGATGCTGCCGGGTAAGCTGAAGACATTAAGGAGAAGGGAGCCAGATGGACCAAGGACAAATTCAAGTGATGGAACCACATTTCCAAGAACTGGACTTGTCACAATGACATGCTCGAAACGCCATCAAATAGGCCACATGGTGAGGAAATGCCCAGTGATTGTACAACCCGATGTAATTGCTGGATCTGGTAATAGAAGGCCTTCTCTAACACTAACAAGTGTACCTAGTGCAAAGTGAAGGGTCATAACAAAAGAACCTGTCCAAACAAAATTGATGCGAATGGAAGACCTCATTTAGATATAAGAGCTGGTAAAGTCCAAGTTTGAACAATTCTTGGCTTTTTATTACATGATTATGAGCTTAAGACTAAAGGTGCGTTTAATAAAACGGAAGTCTGAAAATTGAAATCTGAAGTCTGAATCAATTAGATTATTAAATTGTTAAGTATTAAATCTAATACATTTGAGTGTACATCATATTAGGTGATAAGTGAATAGGTCATCACTTATTTTGAAAGCAAGTTTTACCTAAAAAATTCAATGTTACTTAATTAATTCAGATATCCAATTTTTTGTTATCAAACGCATTTCAACATGTTAAAATTTGAATCTATTAAATTTAAGTGTTGAATTGAATTATCAAACAGGGTCTAATTCTTTTTTCCTAGACGAAGGATGCGACAATGAGAGAAATCAAAGACCCCCACAAGACAATTCTTTTCTTTTATAATGGCTAGTTAGATTTTTACTCATGATCTACTTTACACTTTAGCTAAATTTAATATTATATTGATTGATTAAGAATTACTTTTCATGCTATCGGGAAGATGTACATGCTGCGAGTGAGGAGCCTGAAGTCATTGATGTCCAGCTTTCAGCTTCGAACCAAATTCCTCAAAGACCAAACTAAGATCAGTAAGTGTTCTATATGCCATGGCATAGGTAAAAAACCAACATGTTCAAGTTGGCAGGCTCAAGCATGGCGAAAGAGAAGAGCTGATATGAGGATTTATGGTCCATTTCCTGAATCAAAGGAAAAGTAAACTAGGAAAAAGGAAACAGTGAGTTTACTTATGTCATTGTTTAAAAAAAAAAAAAAAAAAGTCCTATTGTATATATAGTTTGCTGAAGTATTCATCTGTTCAATGCAGGCGCATAGGCTGTTAGATGAAGAACATACGAGCAAGTTCATAACTCAGGCTGGCATTTGTTTGAAGATCAAAATTAGAACCAAACTTGCTGGGGCAGATGTTTTGGGACTATATTCTCCTTTGCTCAGTCTCTGCAAAGATTTTGTGCTGAATGTCCCCTTTTTGGTTCGGAACTTAATGTAAACTTTTGGTCCACAACTGAGTGTACTCTTGGCATTCGCTAATGTAGTGGGGCCAATCCCCGGAGTCACGTGTCAGTTCGAACATGATGATCTGTCAGCTCGGCCAGATCAGCTCAGACAAGAAGGGATACCAGTTTGTGCATGGCCACCGCCTTCCAGCTGGATGGGCCTGGTGGGCCGCAGCTCCCGAACCTTTCAGAGCTAACAGACGGAGCCCTAAGAAGAATCCCTCTCTAGTAGGGCTTCTAATCCTATAAGAAAACTACTACCAAGAGTTCTATAAATACAACACCATGAGACTAAGCAAGGTACGCTATTTACAGTAATCAATACTGTTACTCTACTCTTAGGTATTACTGATTTGACCGTTGGAGTCACAACGGGGAACTAGTCCCGTTGTTCATCCTTTCACAGGTCAATTCGGTCACCTCGCTCGTGTACCGGTTCGTTCCCTCTCAGTTCACTCAACCCGTGGTTGCTTAGTTCGGATCGTGCTCTCGGCAGTCTGCATCAGCTACATTTTGCAAAATTGAAAAAATTGCTAAGTAATGGAAGTGCTTTGTTACCAACATCATGTCTTGTGATTGTCATTCCATTGTTTTGTGATTCTTGGTACAGGTCCAAATTAGCAGATATCAAAATTTAAGGCAAAATTCTGCCAAATTTTTTTCAACCCCAAATGCCACAACCAAGTTTAACTACTATGTTAACATTTTTGAAATTCAACTTCCCCTTGCATGTATTACATAAACAGATATTACATGAATGGATTTAAATTTTCTTACAACCAAATCAAAAATACAAACACAACCATGCTTTGGGTCCATCTTTATACCATCTCTATTGCAACATTTTTAGCTTCAAATCCATGAAACTTTGTCCTTCCTGGCCACTGCCAAGAACTACAGCAAACAACCAAAAACAAGAGCAAATCACTATCACCGCTAACAATTTGGTTGTTGCTTTCAACTTCGCAATTTCGATCTTCATCATCTTGTTCTCTTTTTCAAGCCTTCCAATTTCAATCTTCACCAATGTGTTCTCCACCTCGGCCGTCCTCAGATTCTTCAAAATTTTGGCCACCATATTCTTTGTCATCAATGGCATAATGTGGATCCTACCACAAAAAAGTTGCAAGCTTTTGGTGCCTAAATAAAATTTCCTACCATCATTATTCTAAATTAATTAATAACTACATCACATTTTATTGGCAAAAATTAATTTAAAAATTACCCCATAATTTGAGCAGCCATGAAATCTTTTGCCTAGGTTCAACAATATCCACGAAATCAGTATTCGACATGCGTCACGTCAGTGATAGAAACCAACCTCATCCCTATTGTAAAACTTTACCTTTCCTCTGTCTATTCGCCCGTGATAGAAACCAACTTCATTCCCACTATAGAACTCTACCTTTCCTCTCTATTCACCCTTGATGATTGCCCACTTTCTTTCCTATCATGGTTTGACTGTTGACTGCTTTTTGAACTTGATGCCCCATGGTCGACGTTCCTCCTCTAATATATTTCTTTGGAGAGAATTTGCACAAGGAGGTGCGAATTTGGCGACTTGCCCTCGGCCAAAGTGAGTTGATGTTCCCCATTTCCCCCTAAATGTTCATATTTAATCGCGTGCTGTGTTTGTTCTAATCACTATATTGAAAAATTTGATCCACATGATAAAAATACCCCTAAGTAGTACAAGAGATGCAAAATTGGTGGCGACGCCACAGAAGTCCTGCGTTAAAAAAACAAAAAGTAGTTCCAAGATTAAATTGGTTAAAAAAAATTTATAAAGGGCTAAATTGGTTTTAGTGTAAATGTTCAGGGACCAATTTAGCTAATTAATAGTAAATTATTAATTAAAAGAGTTATTCACCATTGCATTTGCATGGCACTTTTTATTATTAAGAACTTTTTCTTTTTTTTTTCTTTTTGAACAATTATAGATATAAAATAACTTGAATACCAAGGTTTGTATAATTTAAGATACTAAATGCAAGAGAAAATTTGAAATTAAGGCCATATGCCGGAGACGTTTTACAGAGGATTTGTTTTGGCCATGCGGCTTGTACTTCCTCAGGAGTTCAACCTCCACCTGCCAAGTCTCATGGGTCTCCTTCAGACGGATAACAGTGTTGAGATCCGCCACGGATCCAATCACGATCTTGGAAAAATTCAGCAGCCGGGCGTGGTTTCTGTCAGCGTCATCCTTGGCATCGACATAGGTCTCGTGAGCCTCCTTGGCAGCTTTCTTCGCAGCCCTATAGGCCCAAAGAACCTTCGTTGATCGCGGCAGAGCAGTCATGTTGGGTATGATTGATTTGGTTCTCGAGTTAGGGTTCTGAAAACCGAATGAGTGCAGTCATTGTGGTAATCTGTTTGACAAATCACGGCTGGACTCTCACGCTTGTAACCGTCAAATTAAGCTTGGAGGAGTTCCATTTGATCCCTCCTATTATGGACACAATGAAGATGAGACCTTAAAGGCTCCAAGCCGAAACCCAAGGGACAAGCAAAAGTTAAAGTCAAAGTCCAAACCCAAGCCTCGAAGACCCCAATCCCAAAGCTAGAGCCACAGGATGACTGATTAAGATTCTTACCGATAGACTCTAGAGATATTTTGTGTTGGCTGATAGACACTTATCTCTAGGAGTAGATTACGAGTGGCTGATATTTTGTGTGAACTGTTTATTCCATGTTATCTTATTGCACTACGCTCCCAAATCTATGCAGAAGGAACGAAAGAAACATTACAAGTTTTTCACTTTTTACCGCTATTGAATGGGGTCATGCATACAAGTGGCCAAACATCCCATGAGTAAATTATAAATCTTTGGAAGAATGGCAGAAAGAGAACAAAGGATAAAAAATAAAAAAGAGAGTTATATTATCTAGAGTTTTTAACAACAATTCCAATCAATATTGGCAAAAAGTATTTATAGAATTTCTTCCAAAAGAACATTATTTAAAATAATATTAAAACTATATTTCATAAAATTTTGCTTTTATCACCAAATAGTAACTTAAATAGTATGTGTTAAAGAACCAACAAAAAGTATGATCAATATGTTTTACTAGATATTATAAACCGTTGAGTCTAAAAAGATTTCATGCTTCTTTTAAAAGTCTTTAATTCTAATTTGAGTATAGGTAGTTTTCCTGCGAAAATGGTCAACCATCTTCTTTCTAATTATTTGAAGATGACTTACTAACTGCAGTAGTCAACATCACCAATCTAACATTTTAGTATCAACTCCAAAGCAAGATGACTAATTAGCATATTACCAATCTAATATATTAAAATTGGATATAATTGGTTTTGTTGAATTTGTTATCTACTAGCCCAAAATTAATCAAGATATAAAAGAAGAAAAACACTACAAAATAAAGATCCAACACATAATAACAATACAATTATAACATAAAAAATAATAATCTAAATTAAAATTTACTAAACTTGTCCAACATATGCAAATTCAATTGACTTTAAACAAAATCAATTTAACTACAACATACAGAAGGATATCGATGAAATTTTACCATAATTTAAAAAATAATTCATATTGATTAGAAAATGTTTATGGACTATTAAATCAAATTAGTAACAATTAGATATAGACAAATTTAGTATAATAGTCATAAATCCATAATATTATTTGAAATTAGATATAGAAATGTGATATATTTTTTATTATATCCAAGGCATTGGATCATATTATTTGAAAGCATATCAAAATTTTAAAAAATTTAATGTATTTATTACAAGAATTAAATGAAAATGATCCCAACAAAAGAAATTGATATGAAAGAATATCTTTGTTTAAATCAACACATTAACACATTAACGTTACATTATGAAGTTGCACGACACAAAATATTAATAATGTTGAATTTAGAAGTTATTGAGTCAAGACATTAATATTTAATAATATTGAATCCAAAAGTTACATGAGTTAAGACTTAATACTGCAAAATTATAATGAACACCCTAACCTACCAAAATTAACATCAGACCCAAGTAAATCACTTAACCTCCCCTGTATTTAGTAATTTTCTTTAAAAATGCAGAATAATTTTTCACATTTATCTTCAAAAGAGACTTCCAGTAAAATCTATCATCACCCAATATGGGCAAGTCAAATACCAATAAAATAAAATTGTTGATCACTATTTATACCGAAAGGAGTAGCATAAGCAATTGACTCTTGATTATGCTATTTAAGAAAAATAAAAGTGAAGTAAATATTAATTATTATTTCAGCATTGAAGATCTCCACCTCATCACATTTCTTATAACTTCTAAAAGTGTACTACTCCATGTCATCATATTTTATTTATTTATTTATTTTGTACAAGTACTTCTATGGTTTTCGAAAGGTCTATTACCATCAACGAGTTTGTTGCATTTTTGCACATGTTAATCCTTGTTATCGCCTCTCATCCACTTGTTTCAACTCCACGTAAGTTGAATCATAGTGATTTTTCAACTCTTTTAATTTAAAAAAAAAAAGAAGTTGAGAAGGGAGCAATTGATACAAATACAATATTTATTTTTTGTGTATTAAAGTCGTGTGTAGTTATTGAAAAACTTCTAACAATATAAAGTTTAGTAAAGCCAAACATATTAAAAGTAGTAGCAGAATTCTTTTTAATGCTCAATCCAATTAAATGGAATATATTATAGCAGACCCTCTCCGTCCTGCATTTGGCCGTCTGCATATTGGGGGGATAAAGAATCTGCATCTGAAGAGCAGGGGAAGTAAAAACAGAGTAATGCTGAAGAAGAAGGCTGAAAATCCTTCTGCTCAAAGAAGAAAAAAAGAATCTAAAAATGAAAAAAGGAAGAAGCTAGAGATATGGTATTTCAATATTATCATTGCCGCTTTCAGTGTTCTCCTTCTCTGGAGAAACTGAGGCGGCATTATCACATTGATTTGCCCAAGAGGTATATGCGGGTGCTGGATAAGTATAACGGAACGGGGTAGAAGAGATCACAGAAAAATCTGGAGAAATTGAATAAGTGCAGTCTTTTTTTTTTTTTTTAAACATAACGATAGGCGATAGCATATATAGTATATACAAGGTAGAAAGTATAACGTCGAAACTCAGACGCATCAGGCAGATCCCATTCCCCCCTACTACCCCATACCCCCCTACTATCCCATACCCCGTACCCCATACCCTAAACCCTCACATTCCCTTAGGCCCTAATTTTTTTAGCCAAAAAAGGGATTCGGGCCTCCGCGGCCATATGCCGGAGGCGTTTTACAGAGGATTTGTTTTGGCCATGCGGCTTATACTTCCTCAGGAGTTCAACCTCCACCTGCCAAGTCTCATGGGTCTCCTTCAGACGGATAACAGTGTTGAGATCCGCCACGGATCCAATCACGATCTTGGAAAAATTCAGCAGCCGGGCGTGGTTTCTGTCAGCGTCATCCTTGGCATCGACATAGGTCTCGTGAGCCTCCTTGGCAGCCTTCTTGGCAGCCCTATAGGCTCAAAGAACCTTTGTTGATCGCGGCAGAGCAATCATGTTGGGTATGATTGATTTGGTTCTCGAGTTAGGGTTCTGAAAACCGAATGAGTGCAGTCATTGTGGTAATCTGTTTGACAAATCACGGCTGGATTCTCACGCTTGTAACCGTCAAATTATGCTTGGAGGAGTTCCATTTGATCCCTCCTATTATGGACACAATGAAGATGAGACCTTAAAGGCTCCAAGCCGAAACCCAAGGGACAAGCAAAAGTTAAAGTCAAAGTCCAAACCCAAGCCTCCAAGACCCCAATCTCAAAGCTAGAGCCACAGGATGACTGATTAAGATTCTTACCGATAGACTCTAGAGATATTTTGTGTTGGCTGATAGACACTTATCTCTAGGAGTAGATTACGAGTGGCTGATATTTTGTGTGAACTGTTTATTCCATGTTATCTTATTGCACTACGCTCCCAAATCTATGCAGAAGGAACGAAAGAAACATTACAAGTTTTTCACTTTTTACCGCTATTGAATGGGGTCATGCATACAAGTGGCCAAACATCCCATGAGTAAATTATAAATCTTTGGAAGAATGATAGAAAGAGAACAAAGGATAAAAAATAAAAAAAAGAGTTATATTATCTAGAGTTTTTAACAACAATTCCAATCAATATTGGCAAAAAGTATTTATAGAATTTCTTCCAAAAGAACATTATTTAAAATAGTATTAAAACTATATTTCATAAAATTTTGCTTTTATCACCAAATAGTAACTTAAATAGTATGTGTTAAAGAACCAACAAAAAGTATGATCAATATGTTTTACTAGATATTATAAACCATTGAGTCTAAAAAGATTTCATGCTTCTTTTAGAAGTCTTTA